GTGGAGCAGGCTCAAAGGGCCAAATGGCTGACTCCTTCTCCTATATTCAACGTTTTCTATCAGCAGTGGCCACTATTCCCAGCAGAGCAAGACTCTGCTTGGCCAGCAGCTCTCAGGGGTGGGATTTCTGCCTAACTGCAGATTTCATTAGGCAGGAGGCCCAAGGCTGCCCAATCAATTATTCGCTTTAAATTAAATAGAATACAGAGAAATGAGACAGAGGTCCCACTTGTTCACCATTCAATGGATAATACCCCAGTTTCACAAATTACATTGCAGCCCATATAAGCATTGAGGTGATTCCAGCATGTTCCCCACATTCAAGTATGAATCATGCCACATATATACCAGTCAAATCCTGCTATTCAACTGCAGTTTGTCAATCACTTCCTGTGTCTATTATTTAATATGTAACATTAAATTGTTTTATTACCTCCTAGCCTGTAATTGGCTGTAGGTTTCCATTATTCTCTGTATCTTTACTAATAAAGGCATTATAGTTATGTTTTTCTAATGCATTATTGTTTTCAATGGTCACATTATCCAGGTTGCTCCAGAGTTTCAGCATGAAGTGTTAATGAGTTTGATGCAAACGGACAATGATGTTGTTCACTATCTCCTACGTAGAAAGCTGAAATACCATTTGTAAGTAATGCTGAACAGAATGAAATAACTATTCCTTTATTTTAAAAACTAGAAAGCAGGGAGAGCCATTTGATCAAAGGCCTTTTACCAGAGCATGGTATGACAGATTAGCAGGTCTATTCATACCTATAATTATCTGCTTGCTTTGGGTGGCCATGGCCTCTAATTGTCAAACGTTCTGAGGCAGCATTGCATTTCTATTCCCGAATGTTTTGTAACCCCATTACTCATCTTAAAAATCTATACCCACAATCAATGGTTGAGGCCCACAGTTATTAAATCTTCAAATATTTTTTGATTCTGCCCTGACTCTTTTTGATATTAGCTAACTATTCAATTAGAAATATCACAGAAATCATGGCACTTTGCTATGTAAAGAAAAATAGGTACCATGTCGGTGAAAGGACAGAGGAGTTTTAAATGGGGAGCTTTTGAAAAAGAAAGTGATTGGAAAAAAGATGGTTTGCTTTCTGGCATGAATGGAGTGGTTGAACATGCTTTCTCTTGAATAATACAACATTCCTTCATTTTTGAACAGGGGCTCTGATGACGAAAGTGAGAGATTTGGTATGGCAGAACACCACTGCTCGAAGTCTACGTGTGACTCCTGCAGCTCCATAAGTGGTGACCACACACCAATGAACATTTCACCCAGCTTCTGTGAAGGCCCATCTGTGACAGATGAGAAGGAGATGAGTTCAGGTTCAGAGTTGTTTAAAGTATCTGAAGAACTGTCATTCTTTGGAAAGCATGGAAAGGCCTTTTCTACTGAATCTCTGAAAGGTAGCACATCGGGTTCGTTACATTGAAATGGAAAATAATTAATGAAATTAGTCTAAAACAATGGCAAAAGAAAACCCCAGATCAGAGTAAAAGCACTGGTCGTGATGTTTCTCCAAGGAGATTTCATAGGTATTTAAATGTTATCCCACTCCTCTATCACCACAATCCTGATGCATCATGTTGGATAAAACTTAGTAGCAGATATAGATACTGTCTGGTAAAACCTGTGTCACATGCAGCTGAATTCCACTGCCAGAAAGTGGGAATTCGGAGCCATTATGCAGGATATCCACTGTGGTGTAAGAGGAGTAAGAAAGAGAACCAGTGTATAAATTTGAGGTAGGGAGCTTGTGGTTGTGGGGAGAGCATCCTGAGAAATGTTTCCCATAATATTTATAAAAGTACCTGTATATGCAATGGGCGGAATTGCTGGTAGCTCTTCACTGACGGTGTAGAGAAATTGTTGTCCTATTCATTCTAAGGGTAATTTGTTTTCAGCCTTCTTTCACTGTCCTAAGTACCTTGAACTTTCCATAAACTCATGTTCCATCTATCACAGTCCTTGCCAAGATGCCCATCTGTTTTCCCTGATCACTACCCTATATGCTATTTCTCTTTCTCATCTCTCCCAACCCCAAGCAGTAAGCCCTTTTCCCTATTGGTTGATTCTTCTCTTCACTGAGCACCCATATCTTCCTTCCCACTGCAGCGCCTTAGCACTTCCACCATTGTCACATTCCACACCTCTTTATCTTCAGTCCCACCACTCTCTGGTTTCCATCTTTCCCAGTGAAGACACAGTTCACAACCCTAGCACTGTTAGACTAATGCACCCAGCCCCTAATGTTTGCAGGACCTTCAAAAATTTGAGAATAACCCTCAGTATCTCTATCTTACCTGGAGCTACAAACCTACCTATATCCTACACTTTCATGTTGCTTCCAGACTTTGAAACCCTCTCCCAACAGTCCGATAACCAAATATCATCATTCAGTACACTTTGTGAGGTCAGTTGGCTCAGTTGATTGGTCAATTGGTTAGCGATCCAGAGTGACATCAAAAGCATGAGTTCAATTCCTGTAGTAGCTGTGGCTTCCACAAAGGTCCCCCCTTCTTAACCTTGCCCTTTGCCTGTGGTGTGATGATCCTCAGGTTAAACCACCACCAGTCTACTCTCTCTAAAGAGACAGCAGCTTTACGGTCCTCTGAGACTATGGCAATTTTACCTTTAGTGCCAATAATTTATGAAATGAGTTTAAAACAATGGCAAAAGAAAATCTCAGTACATGTATTCAAACCACACCCATTAGTCCTAGTCCCAGTCCCAGAAAATCTACTCCCACTGCTCGTATATCTCAAGCTGTCCTCCTTATCAACCCAATGTTGTGATAATCAAGAAGCACCATTAGTACATCTAGACAGCTCTTTTGATATTCCTGCACTACTCTCATATAGCAGAAACCCACCTTCTCTTTCATTCCCTAAATGTTTTGTACATCTTCATAAACTGCCCTGTTGTCAGATAGTCAGCAGTGTAAACCAGAGCAAAATTTACTACTTTCCCCTTATGATGGGTTTGGAGGGCATGAGAATTTTTTTGAGCATGACAGCTCCTGCTCCAGCTAACTCTACTATGGGAAAGTTTGTACACAGCCTCCCTGCTCACAACTAAATGAGGCACTGAAGTGAGAAATCTTTTTTTTCTTTATTCATTCACGGGATGAGGGTGTCGCTGGCTAGGCAACATTTATTGCCCATCTCTAATTGCCCAGAGGGCAGTTGAGAGTCAACCATATTGCTGTGGGTCTGGAGTCACATGTAGGCCAGACCAGGTAAGGATGGTAGTTTCCTTCCCCAAAGGACATTAGTGAACCAGATGGGTTTTTCCGACAATGGGTTCATGGTCATCATTAAATTCTTAATTCCAGATATTTATTGAATTCAAATTCCACCATCTGCCGTGGTGGGATTTGAACCCAGGTCCCCAGAACATTATCTGGGTCTCTGGATTAACAGTCCAGTGATAATACCACTAGGCCATTGCCTCTCCAATCAGTGGTGATTAGGGCTGTCATCATGCGAGAATTCAGTGAGTGTTGAGCAGACCATGAGGCAAGCCTGAAAAGCAAATAAATTTGCTACTGTTCATACAAATGAAAAAAGTTTTTGTGACATAGTTTGTATCCTGACGAGCATTTGGATGTCTTCTGATGATTTACCACAGGCAGTGGTTTAAATAAACTATCTTAGCATTACAGAATGTGATCTACAGATCAGATGCTAAAGCTTCGTCATGGAAATCTGAGTTGTTTATTTAATCACATAACATAAATTGTCAACAGTCCAATAAAAACAGAATACTGTTCTTTTCTCCCACTTTCAGGGTAATATCCTAATTTCTCTTTGATCCCAAAAGTCACTAGCCTGCAAACTGGGCTACAAGGCATCTTTTTCTCAGTGCAGGAAGCACTCAATCCTTTCCACCAGGAAGTAAGCTTGGAAAAAAAAAACATGTTGTTCAATTCCAGCATGTGACATGGGCACCCAGGCCTTTAGATATTTATATTGCAATCAGTTTGTCTTTAGCCTCTATTTCTTCAACCTCAATCCCCCAGCAAAATGCCTCCACCAGCCTTTATTTACCTGAGGGTCTTTGGAATGCTGGTTTATACTCCTCCAAACAGTTGTTGGCACACACCAGCTCAACAAGAAAGGGGGCTTTGTCATTCAGGTGCAGGTATTGAGCCCATCACGCCACCTGCCTAAAAATGTGTGCATCCAAGTATCTACCTCACTTTTTCAATGGTAGTAATTATCATAGACTTGAGTGGCATATCCACATTCAAAGCATTGGAGGATATAGTTCAAAGATTTGAAGCAAGAATGAGAAGTGAACAAAAAAGTTAAATCCTTCTTTCGACTAATATTCTTATGACAAGAAGTGGTATAATACACATAATTACACAGTTATTATGGTACATCATAATCCTCTTTAGCCTCTTCGCAGCCCTTAACATGGTAGCCCCACCATTCTTCTACAAAGTATTTCCTACATTATCTACCTAAGTAATGTTGTTATTTCAGGGTAAAATACCACTGCCAGCATGATATGGTCTGAGCGTTCCCTATATACCCTTGTAACATATACCACAAAGATAGGGACCTTGTTGAGACAGAAATTTTGAGGTTTATTAACAATACTAATTATTTACACCACTGAGAGCTCAGACCGACACAAAATCTAGGGTCTGTGTTACTGACTATAAGTGGCAAGGGTACAATAAGTGCGAGCAGGCTATTATGATTGCTGATGCTCCTGAAGGTGAGTCCTTTATATTGGCATGTCATATGCCATGATGTCACCTGACAATCTTAAAATTACATGCCTGTCTTTTCTGGAATTGATGCAAAAACACAATAAGTGGAATGACATTATTCCATTGTGATCCAGAGAATTTCCAACGTAGGCGTCTCCTTCCACTGGATTCCTCTGGAATCCCTTCAAAGTCTATTCTTGGTTTCCTCCTTGGTCTCATTTTCATCCTTGACAACCATATCTGCTATATAGGATCAAGTTCTATATGCACACAGATAGCATCTGACGCTATCCTGCCGTCATTTCTCTTCATCCATTCACGCTTTTGTATTATTAGAAAGCTTGTGAATGAGTTGTGCTTTCCTCTGCATTCAGGAGTCATTGCTCCAAATTTACAAGAGGCTGAATGTCACAGTGGTCACACTGGGCCTGTGTCAAATAGTGAGGGAAGCAACAAAGTCCTGACATTAGATGACTGGTAATGCACCATCATTTTTTTCACTATTGCTAAATTAATATTATGGAAGTCCCTAGCTTATACCATTGTTGTGATGGTATCACCACAGGCACTTCAGAAGTTCAACAAAAAGACCCATCACTGACTGAGGAGTAAGCAATAAATACAACCTTGCTGATATTATGCATGCCCCACATGTAAACAAATGATCTTAAACTGCCCTATTAATAGATCCACTTTTCTAGATTCACTAAGTAAACTAGCTCAACCCATCTTTAGCAGCAAACATGCAGCATTTCCTACATCATTAGCTGTTCTACACAACTGCAGTACATTGTACAAAGCCTTTTGACATAATCATTCACTGTTCTGGATGAAGGATTGTGTAACATCCAATAAATGACCATATATTTAAATGATTCCTGTTGGAAGCACTGAGTGTAACAAATGGATGCCAGATTCTGCAAAGGGCCTGGTAGGGTCTGGAAATCCTTGGTGAGGGCTCTATGCATGAAACAGTCTTGCTCAATGCTGTGATAGTTTACCGATGCACTTTGATTCTTGCAACTCTATGCTGCAAGGCATTTCTCATTGGTACTGCAAAGAAGGCGGCTGCTCTCTCTTGATATTTTTAATGAGGACTGCCCGACAAGTATGCCTGCAATCCATAACTCTGATTTGTAATTCTACAGCAATTACGCTGACCAGTGATGACCTTTCCACTGTTAGTTCAGCTATATCAATGAGCTGGATTTTCCTGTGGGCTTGGAAAGACCTTGACCTGTATACTTCTTCACCCTTCAAAATACATATCCAACCCACACATAACTTTCCCCTGGATTTTTGTCTTTTCACAAAGGGGTCAAGTTTGCCATGCAGTTTGTGAGCCATGCTTGAGTGGATGAGAAGTGTGGACATGGAGTCAGGTTAGTTAGAAAGGTTTGTCTCAATTCTCCCAACATCATTTAAAAGGTCTCTTCAACCTCACTTCCCATTCATTCCCATACCACTCCATGTCCCCTCCAGTCGCCCATGCCATCCCTTGCTCCTTCACATCACCACCCTTTCCTGTGTACCATTACATACTACTCAGATTGCCATTGCTAAGACCATGTTACCTCTTTGTTTCAAAGTAGTCTCCATTATATGCAGTCCTCAAGCTGTGCAAAAGCAATGGGAATTATTTTAAGATCATTTGGGGAAAAAAAAATCTCCACCAATTTTATAAAACCTACAAGTCCAACTCACAATTATTGATAGTTGAAATAAAACCTACTCCAATAAAAACAAAATAATTCTTTTACAAACCCAACAGGCACTTGAATGAGCAAGAAAACAGAAAGTCACCTGTCCATCTGATACTGTTCAGCAGTTTTTGAAACTGCGTCAAGCATTTTTGGTAGCAATAGCTGCCATACCAAAAGTTTCCAGCTACATTTCTTGAAACAGAGAACAGATTGTTTTAAAATTGAAAATGGAATACTAGAGTGTCTGCGAATCAATGGAGAGGAGCAAGTATAGAAATTTCTCTACAACTTGCAAAAACAGCATCTTTTTTTTGAAACAACCAAACCTGCTAGTCTATTTAAATCACAGGCCAACAGGACTTTTGTTTTAAATTTTTAATGCATCATGATAATTGGAAAAGGTATTGTAATGCACAGCAGCAATTACACAATGCTTAACAATGCAAGAATTATTTATTTGTGCACAGTCAGACACCTATGATGAATCACATTAAAAATACATATACATTACAATACAATGTCTCAATGTCATTTGAAGGTGTCAAAATTTTAGACTTTCAGAATATTCCCAATTCTTCAGCAGGCTTCCCCCCGTGACTTAATATGCTCTAAGGAGGAAACTTAGGTCCTTTTAGGGCCTACAAAACCAACAGAAATCCACAAAAATTGCTTCCAAAAGGATGTGCATTTTTTCTAGTTTCCTCACAACAGGGACTGGGACCTAAAAAGAGGTGTATATGCATTTTTTTATCAATGGGATTGAAATTTTACCTGGTGTGAAGGTGTCTTTTATTGTGCCAATGGCCACACTTCGAATTATTTCAGTGGAAATCAAGTTTTCATCTGCATTCCTGAGCCTAGCCAGTTTCCTGTGGCTCTTTTTGCCAGTCAAGAATGCCTAGTGTGAAAAATATACATACTTGCCCCTACTGAGGTTAGATTTCTCATTTTAAACAGTGAACATAAAGTAGTTTGCCTTCTGTGCCCTATATTTGTCTAGTGGCACAGGGCTGTAAAATCCTGTTAAGAGCATGGCAGGTTTAGATGTTCATGGGGAGAATAGAAAGCTTGTTCAAGTCAGGAACATTCTGAAAGCAATGTGCAATGTGAAAGCAATATTTTCCTACATTCATACATCACTGTAAAATGCCGTATTATAATGTAAATGTGTTTTGATTCACTAATTCCTCATAGGGAGCAGTTTTGAAAAGGTAAATTCACATTCACATTAACAGTATTATTTATTTGTTTACATGCATTCTCGTATTTTTGTGATGAAGGAATTACCATAAATGTACTAAAACTAAAGTCAACCAAAATATCATCTGTTGTCATTTTTAATACTCTAATCTAAATTAGATTGGCAGGTCTGGGTGTGTCTTTCTTCTAAAAAAAAGCTTGCTTCTGTGTATCTGTTCACCTCCAATGGCTGATGGGCACACTGTTTTGAAATGGAAACAGAAATTTCTGTCAGTGGAGCTGGAATCATTGGCTATGTCAGCAGTTCCATTGTGAATGCTTGGCTGCACTTCAAAAGCCTCAGTTCAAAAGGTAGTCTTGTTGATCCAAGAACAGTTAAAATGTATATGCTCATAATAGAAAATTACAGGTTCTAGACTTTTTTTGATCAGCTCAGTTGGCCCTTAAAAGATTACAACCTCCCCCACTGCTAGAGGTAGCATGGGGTTGCATGGGATAGAATGGGGAGATGAGGAATGAGGTATAGATGTTTTTAAACAATGTTAAGTGTTTGATTATTAATTTGGAGGCTGAGTTGGGCCTTCTACAAGATCACCCTGTACCCATATTCCTCATACACTCCTTTGTTACTCAAGATACACTGTGAACCCAAATCTTTGAAAGTCACATGAAGGTTGGAAATTCATATTGTGAGTCATGCGAGTACACAGATTTTCTTTAGCCTTGGTGAAAATTTGGCCCAAGACCTTTCCAACCCCACCAAAAGGCCACACAAACATGGTGCAAGGTCAGGAAGGCACAAGAAAGTGTTTTTTTCCGCCAACAAAAGTAAGTGCAGTATTTCACAACCTAATTCAGAGCTGTTTGGGAACCAACAATCTGGCCAAATGTCTTCTATTTGCAATTCATAGTTAATTACGACTGATTTTTATTTGTTCTAACGGGCACTCTCAATGTCTATGAGTTTACAGTCAAAAAACTAAAAAGAGTAAAAACATGTAAACCAGCATTCCTCATGACCTTTCCCAAATCCCTATCAAATTAATCTGTAGCTATGATATATTTATAGGCCCTTGTTGTGATCTTTTCCTTCAGTTGGAAACCCTACAGCAATCTTAAAGACTTTTACCAGGTCACCAACCAGGCTCCTAATAAAACACTATGTGTGTCTTATGGTCTTGTGGCAATGTCCCTACCTCTAGTTCAGAGGGCTTGGTTCAAGTCTCACCTGCTCCAGAGGTGTGAAAGAATGGGTTGATCGAAAATATGTGGAAAAAATACCCTGAAGTACAGGTTGCTGTTAGTTAATGTAGTAGTGCACAATTTCCAGATCATCTGGTTAACATGCAAACAACGACTATAAAGTTTTAAAACACGGTTCCAAAATATGGATTGGGATCATAACATGTTGATTCAACATATAATTACTTAATTTATTTAATTCTCAGCCCTATCTAGTGGTGAAATATCTGTGTTACAGGTACTAGACTGTCTTATTTAATCAAAAAATTAAAAGCGACTCTTTTCTGCACTCACGACAAATCTGATCTTATAACTGGAGACTGTACACCCATTAGAAAAGATTGAAGATGTTGCAGCTATTTTCTGTAGAAAATCAAAGTGCATTAACAGTTTATTAATGAGGACAGTTAGTTTTGAATTAAAGCTCATTTGTAAATTGAGTTAACAAAGTTATCAGGAAGTTATTGGCTTTGCTTTTCATCTTGTCTGAAAATTATTTTAGATTCATTTGAAGAGACTGGTGGGAAATGGTCTATTGGTCAACGGAGAGCATCTCATTCACATGAGAACCTTGCAACGACACTTCTTTTGGAACCATCAAAAGGATTTGTGCAAGATGTAGAGTTCAGGACACAAAACCCAACTTCAGTTCCAATGAACAAGTCTCCTGACATATCCTTAGCAACCAGTTCCCAAACACCCTACAACAGTCATCATATGCTCACAAGTCTTAATTGCACTCGATTCCTCACAGGCAGCACTGAAGAATTGAAGAAGAATACAAAAACAACAACTAAACTGCGAAGAGTACGTTCAGATCTTTATTCAAAATGTGGAAGTCCTATCTTGCATTCATGTGCTGCTAAAACAGGCAGAGACTTTAAGAAGTGCAGTGAAGTTGCTAGCTCATCTAGCAATGACCATTTGAGAAAAAATCTATCTACTGCATCTAGCTTCTTTCCTGAGGCATCCAAGTCGTGTGAGGCACTACAAAATGAGAAAAGTAGGGAGGAAATGGAAGCTAAAGTGTGGGTGAGAAGGGTCAGTGAAGCTTGTTCTCCAACCAAAACACAGAGACAACAGCAACTTCAGCATTGTAAGTTCAAAGATGAGCAGAAAAAAAATTCTGTTCGTGAAACTGCTGTATAATTTTCAAAATTTCCTGTTCATTGAACATCTCCAAAAAGAAGTTGCTTCAGCACTTCTGGGAATAATTTCGACTCCATTATTTCATGCTCGTTGTTAGGTTTTACACATTTGTGTAGGACTTGTCTGACTTACTAATCTCAAATTTTGCTATTATTTCCCCATTAGTAAATATTATAGATATTGTTGTTTAATTGCCCCTTCTTGTTGCCCCTGGCAGTTGTCTCTGTGTTGATGTTAAGTTTAGCAAAACTGAAATCTCTACATGTTTATGCGCTTGTACTTTATTTAAAATGAGCGAGGATCTTTCTCAGTCTGTCTTGTTTCTTGTATTAAGTCCGTGAATTATTAACACTTAAAGGAATGTTCAGGCCTTGTTGGATTGTAGGAATGACAACACAGACAGAGAAAAGGCAATTTGACCCCTGAACTCTGCTCTTTCCATGCATTGTACAATCTGTTCTATCATGGACTGCACCCAGTTTATTTATTGCAATGTCCTGAGGCCAGGTTTTGCAAAAATTTCTCAACTCTTTGAAGCAAACAAGCAAAACTCCAGAATTCTGCCTCCGTTAAAGCTACTGCAATGAATTCATAGACTTCTGAGTGTTTATAAAACATATTAAATCATTTTGCATTAGTTAGTTGTGTGGATGGGTACTGCTTTTCTTCGTGTTTATGGACTGGTTCGTGATAAGGGAGCATTCCATTCCTGAAGGGTGTCTCAGATCTGAACTTGCTTTTCCTCCTTGTGTTGGACCGATATAATCTAAGAACTGGAGGATTAAACATTGCCTTTTCCACTATGTGCTATGTGTTTGAATCCAAGACAAATGATCAGATGAGTGTTTCCTCCTTGCTTGATGTAAATGTCCTCTTTTAAATAATCTTAGGCAGGGATCAATCTAGTTGCTATTGGGTACTTGAACACAGGCTGTCCCTAATACAGAACTAATTTTGTTCAGCAGAAACACTTCAATGTGAAATGGAAATGTCACTGGGGATTAATTCATCCTGAAGATGGTTGCTTACAATGTCATAGCTTTAATGTTCCTCATCTTGGTAAGCAAAAAGTACTAAGTAAATATATGACAAATCCTCGTCTTTATTTTCAAATATTTGAAATTAAAATCTTCCCAGATGTATTCATCCTGGACATTCCTCTAATTGTTTAGAATATTCAATTGCATTATAAAGTGCAATGATTCTTTTTGGATCCAAATAAGAATTTTTTAAGTGTTATTTGTGTTCAAATCATGTTTATGCATTACCTGTTATTGTAAAGATTTAATCCAGTGCTTTCGTTTGCAGCAGAAACATGATAATTTCCTTGTTATGTGGGCTGCGATTTTCAGAATTTTCATTGCTTCAATATTGCTGCATTGCTAATGGCAAGGGCTTTGTATATCAGAACATTGTGGTAAATTAAATCATTTCAGCTTCAAATAAGAAATGGAATGTGCCAGTTCAGTTAATAGTCGGAATTATGAATTAGGAGGAAACATCCACTGGAATTTGCTGACCTAATTATTTCCTGTAATTCTGTTAAAAGCACATGGTTGTTGGATATAGGGTGAGGGCATGGCAAACTTTGACACCCACTGAAAGTTATACAATGGCAGTTCTACTTCATACAGGTTTTATTTAGCTAAGCATGTTTTCTTCATGTGGGTGTGTACAACTATTTTGAGGCTGCATATAGCTTGATTCTCTTATGATCCCTACAGATATCCAAATCTTTTACAAAGGGATCAATTTCCCAGTGACTAACACAAGTAAACTGAAGGATAAAATGCTACATTCTAAGAATTTCACTATAATCTGCAAACTAAAATCAGTGTGACTTAAACATTAATTTGGTTTAATTGTGACCGTTAAGTAAAGACACTGTCACATTAGCCAGCTAAGTAATCAAGCTATGTCACAATCCCTTTTGCTGTGCACTGTATTTACAGATTTGTAGCATTACAGAAACAGTCCCACTGTAACTCCTGGATTTCCAGCAGGCCCACTTCAAACATCATTCCACTCAGCCCGTTACACTTAGGTCTAATTTTCACCAGCAAGACATCTCCTCTTCATGAAAACAGTTCTGTACCCTTACTTTGAAACAGAAAAATAAAACACCTCTGCCGACATCAAGCTTGGTCGTTAGCACATACCAGCTTCTCTCTGTTTCTCCATGGCTGGCAGACAGATGATAGTCACTCACCTGCAGATTATGTGGGCCTATCTGAGTGGAAGTCTTTCGTATGACCTCACCATTCCACTTTTCAGAACATTAACTTAACAGAACAAAAGGGACATTTAAAACAATTATAAAATCCAGCTGTTTAACAATATCTTAGTCTGCACAGGTTGAAGCTAGTGAAATGATTAAAGATTATAATAATTTTATAAAGTTTACATTGTAAAACAAAGATGGTCTTAAATTTAACCATAAAACCCCTTCCCTAATGGATGGCAAAGAGACAGTTTAAAATGTTAAGACTTGATAAGATGGTGCCAATCCCATCTGTTTAAACTTTTGAAGTTCATAAACCAGTGTATGCATGAGACTTTTGTAAAGCCTTGCTAGGGCATAATTAACATTTCAAAATTATGACCTGACAACATGATCTGCACCACCACTCACATTTAATAGTGATCAACAGAAAGCATAAACTTTGGGCTTCTCAGCAGCTGATCCAAAGCAGGAGTTGTTGGGTTACTCAGTTTATGGTTCATACAGAATTCAGTGGGCTAACCACAGCAGGTCTGATTTTCACAGGCCAAAGATACCTTTTGCCTAAATCCCAGGCCTGGTCACAGGCTTCTCTACCTCAACTGCTGACTTGCCCCAAGATATACTATTAACTGACCCAAACTGATACCCCAGCACTGGGGGAGGGACTCAATCTTCAACATCCTCAAGCTACAGCCCCCAGCCCCAAAGATTTCCCTTCTAGACAATGGTCAAGAAGGACAGTTGATTTGATGCCCTATATGAGTATAGGGTCTACAACATACTATAGGCTTTAATGCGTTACTGATGGTCTACTGTTACTTAGTAAGCTTTTTTGGCTAAATAGATACAATTGACTGTACAGCTTCCTTCTGCACTGTAAGTGTCTATGTGTGGAATTTAGTGCTGTCCCACGAGACAAGTTTAGTGTTAAGGGGGATTTGATCCACTTCCTACTTCTGCCCCAATTAAGTTTGAAACAGGAAGGCTCATGAAGAGCAGATTGAGACTATTAAGTGGGAAATTACTCCAATTAATTGACTCTGCCCACATCTGCTGGGATCTCCTCAGTGATGGGCAATGGACTTGCCATGAGGACGCCCGAGAAAGAAACTCTACTTTGTTTTCTTGTGGATTTCTGAGAGTAGTGGCATCTCTCATTCAAAGGCGCACAGTGACTAGTCAAAGGACTTGGCATCATGAGGAGGGTCTCAGAGTTACCCTCCATGCCATTTCTGCCAAACTCCCTCCCATAATCTCCATCAATCATGTCTTACCCTAACTGTGACTGGGTCTCTCAGTAACGCATAGCAACTGGCAGCTGTTGGTGGAGGCGGGGTGAAAGAAGAGGGCATAGTTTCTGCCTCTGGAACACATCATTCCCACCCAAAAGGGTCCTTCATCCTAGGGAAGGCCCAGTACTGTCCAATTAAGTGCCAGATGGACATTTAATGTCCTTCCTGAAAGGAGGTGCAGTTGTGCCCTAGATCTATTTACATTTAAATAGATTAAGATTTAATAAATATTTAATTGGATGGTTGAGAAGGCAAATTTATTCAGCATTTATTATATCATATATTTGATCTAGACTGACTGAGCCTGTGTTTAGGGAGCTGTGCCCTTTTTTAAATCTGTGTAATAATTAAAGAAAGTGCGTTCAAACAGGATCAGAGGGTGGATGATAACAGACAGAAGAGTACCTCATCTGAGATTGGTTTCTTAATTGTAAATGTGACCAGTTCACCAGCAGTCTCATTGGTCACCATGACAAAGATATCCAAAAAACAACAAACAACATATTGGTCATTTTGCAACAATTGCCAGTATTTTCAAAAGACTGCCCAGTTCTCAAAGTGGGTCTTGGCTGACATGTTATTGAGTTTGTCAGGTTTTATGATACAATAAAACATTGAGGGACAAATGAGGTAACGTTAAGGATGATGTGCAACAGGTTTCAGGAAGAAGTTTTATTGATGACTTAATGATCAAATACTCCTTTATCAAAAGTTGTTGAATCACACATCTGATTTGGCGTGCAGTTACAGATAGAATCAAATGATACAGGACAGAAGAGGTTCCTTATGATAGGATTTGTCACACACGGATTAAGTAAGGTTAAAAATTTCAACCAAAGCTCCTGCTCCCCATTCTTCTAAATGTCTCATGAAAAATCTGTGCTTACTTTCATATTCAAACATTATCTAGCCAGCTCACGTTTGAAAAAATGGCTACTTGGGGGGAATGCTCAAGGACTGGAAGTTGTTGTACAATTTCCCAGCTGTGAAGAATTAGCATCTTTAGTGGAGAATAAATACCAAACAAATTGCCTCCCCTTGAGGTCCTTTTTAGTGATGTTGTAATGTAATAACCAAAATGTCTTATTCTCTCCTGACAGAAGCAGCAGAGATCAATATTTTTTGTATGCTGATTGACTTCGCAATTGCATTACCATTGTGTCTCTATGGCAGCTTGGTTGAAATAAAACTGCAATTTGAAATTAATAAACCAATTCAGAAAAATAAAGTTTGTATTCTTGCCTGACATTTTAACTTTTTCATGGAAATTTGTTCAAATGACCCCAATCAGTGAATTGGCTGACTGTAGAAGGGTTGGGCAGTGCTCTAATTTTAAGAAAAAGTATAGCTTCTGCAGAACTTTGGAGACTCTCATTTTGATCTTTGTTGAGCATTAGTTACGACAAGGTTCACTATATTAGACTTAATTAAGTTTATTTGTTGTTGAAAGCTGTTGAAGATTATGGCTGGGATGAGTAGATTCGATATCTACTCCTCCGTCCTGGCTGCAATGTGCTTGCAGTATGTATGATCTGAGGAGTACCTGCAGTAACTTTTCTATGTTTACTTCAACACTGCCTCTGTCTCTGGAAATTGTACCTGTAAGAAGGGGAACGGCACCAAATGTTTTAGGAGCACTATCACCCCTAAGATTCAATCCAAATCACAAACTGTTCTGACTTGGACAATTTTACTGTTCAATTCATTAAACTAATACCTTGGAAATGCATCAAACACCATCAATACAATGACTACACTGACTTCAATGATTCAAGGACTCTGACCATGGTTACCTTCTCAGGGCACAAACTGGGGCAAAATGAAAATAAATGGGAAATATATGAAAGGCAAGTACAATGCCGCTCTCAAAGTATTTTGTTTGAAAAGTGTTTTGCAGTTTGTAAAAAATATATTTTTTTCATTGGCTATCTGCTTACTTATGAAGCACAAAATTTACAAGCTTTTTGCAAGGTTGAAGGTTGGTTTAATATTGTTGCCAAAAAGGCACATGAGAGTACAGCACATGGAAAGTTAAACCCTCAACTGATTTCTTTAGTATGTTCACACAAACGGCCACAAGAATGTGCCATTTCAGTCTTCACACCCTGATGATGATGTTACAAGATGTTACAAAATGTTCAAAATACAACTTGCATACATTTCATGTTTTTCATTTATTTACAGATCTAACTTGGACATTAGTATTCTATTCCTAACAGGATACTCCCTTTCTTGACAAAAATTCCAGAACTTGGAGAAAGGTCTTGACTCAACTTGGCTGAGACTGACGAGAAATTTCTCCAATTAGAACTGATTTTGACCTTAGCCTTCAGCTGATTTTTTCACTGCATTAGGAATGCCTGTCAGATTTCAACTCACATCTGAACTGATTTCAGGCACAAGTTGTGTTTATATAAGTATTGTTACTCTACTTGTATTCCAACTACCCACTTCATCGAACTCATTTCATTCTTCCCAAATTCCTTCTTTATGAACCTCCAAAGGTAAAACAACATCTACATGCACAAACCCAAACTTTCCATTATCTAATTTCTTTGAATAAATATGGGCGGAGTTTTACACATCACCATTTCACTACACTTCATAATAGGTACTTCAACTAGTTATGATAATGTTCTTTCATGTTAACCTTCCAACAAATTCAGACTCCTTTCACTCGACTCCCATTGACACTATTTCTCCTGTTTTATTTTCTAAATGTGGCTTCAGGAATGGAAACCTTGTTTTAGGTTGTATAAGAACAATTCAGCTGACATTCTGCTGCTAGTGAGTTATGTGATGATAAATAAACATGAATTTGCAAGGTCGATTCAGACAATTTATATTTCTTTCAATTTGTGTCTAACATCTGTTTAACAACAGCACACTTAACATGTAACAAGTGGTCTGTGCTCCATTTGAAGTAGGATGATACAGTAAACTCAAATGTGTTTTACCCCATTCATTCTCATGGAGATATGGAGTAATACAGCATGGAAATAGGCCCAGAGATAGTAGGAACTGCAGATGCTGGAGAATCCGAGACAACAAGGTGCAGGGCTGGATGAACACAGCAGGCCAAGCAGCATCATAGGAGCAGAAAGGCTGA